AGTAGTCGCTTGGTCGCGGTGAGGAGATCAAACGAACGGCACGAAGCTTGCGAATTACCCTTCCTCTTCTTCAAAAACGGCACACAGAAGACGAATTTTTTATAGGAATTATATAATAAACAAACACGATCTTCCAACTATCTGAAATTACTCGCGAATTATAGAGTACCCTTTTGTACTCTCAAGTTAATACGCAAATCCGTCGTTCGAAACAATCATTCTAATTAATTAATCGCCAAACATCGTACGAGATCATTGTATATATTTGCCTGAACGGAGCGCTATTCGTCGCGAGGAAAGGATCGTGTTCAACTCCCACTGCCGAAAAAGAAGCAACGACTGAAAACAAGTAAGTTCGAGACGTGTTTCCCCTCCCTACTTCGTTCATTATCCGTCATTGTCAGTGGTGTTTCGCGATCTTCGTGTCATTCTCGCGTGGAAGCCAAACAGTAACGAAGTCTTCGTGATCGATCGCAAGATTCTGTCTGTGGGAACGTTCGGAGGGTTTCGTAGTTTCTTTCACATCGAGAGATTAACCCGACGACGAACGAGTGTAACTCTACCGGAAGGAAAGAAAAAAAAAAAAAAAAAAAAAAAAAAAACGAGAAATGGGGTTGAATCTGATCGAAGGATCGACGGGGTGAGGGGATCGAAACGGGAGAGGATGGTAACGAAAAAAAAAGAAAAAAAAAAAGATAACAGAATGCGTGCTAAAGTGATCGGAGACTGCCAACAGAACTTCGTCCGCCGCCGCTCGATAGAATTGAAACTTGTTCGATGAGATTTTTGAAAGCGATGTGATTAATTATATTCGACTAGAGAGACGATTAGCGAAATGTGTCTGTACTCGACCGTGTACTACGTGCATCTCGGGATCGTCTCGAGAGATGGATGCATCTCGACGATCGTCTTCGACAGACGGTCCGTCGAAATCATCCGATAGCACGAGGTACGTGTAAACGAATAATTTCCTCGTTTTTTCCTCCCAATTCTTTCACCGAACTACGAAGACGTTTCACGAGGATCGAATGAGCAATTAGAATGTTGGAAGCTTTGCTGTGTAACCCAAGATACGATAGACTAAAGTTATAATTACCAATTGACAATGACACGTAGGTAAATCTTAAAAACGGTAAAGAAGTACAACGTTAGAATGTTGAAATATAATTACGCTTGTTTGTTCATATCTTAAGTCGGTACATTGGAAAGTTTGATTTTTGATCTGAAGATCAAACGGAAAATAGGAATTGTTTAACTTTGAAGACTATCTTTGTGACTTTTACCTTTTATACGTCGATTCATTATCGAAGAAAGTCGAAAGCTAAAATCGTTCTCATCGAGAACGTCATTTATCATCGTGCAATAAAGTTGACTCTTTTTTTGTACTATATTTTCTCTACAGTTCCTGAATATTTTCGCACGAATCTAAAATCGTTCCAAAACGACCGAGTAAGCAAGTCTTATCTATATACATTTATCGATTCTACGTATGACGAAAAATATCACTGCCTATTGTTATTTAAAATATCACTGCCTACGTGCAAAACACGTCAAAATACGTTCGAGATTAATTCTGTACTTGGTATCACCACTCAATCCTCACCGAAGAAAATCGAATAAGAGAATAAGAGAGCATAAATAAAACGTACCGATTGCTCCGAGACGATCCACGGTGACAAATTTTGGTACTTGAAGCGCATTGAGTATAAACACAGGCCAATAAAAAAAAAAAAA